GAGATGCGTAAATTACTTATTATCGCCCACCCCCAATTCTTCAGTGATAAAAAGCTGAAGTCAGCTATTCGCCAGCTTCTATTTGGAATTTTCCCGCTCCACCTTAAATGGTGCAGCAGTTACGTTCTGGCGCTTCAGGCGTCAGTACTGCTGGGCTGTTTAAGGTGGAACGGGAAATTTAGCTAGCTTATCTAGCTACCGAGAAATTAGCATACTAGCGATGTTTATGCTTGCAATGAAAAATGTATAATAAATTGAAATGACATTAAACTAGGACAATACAAGGGTGATCGGGTGATTTTTAACGGAGAAAATACTTACATTTGTGGGTTTTTTTGGTCGCCTGCCCAGCCATCTTGCGGTTTTTTCCCCATAACACTGTTTGGAGCGTGGCTCCAAAACGCCTCTGTCTGGAGGGCCATGTAGCCCTAACACTCCACCCTACCCCTCTATCTCAAGTGAGAGTTCTTTAGTGATACTTCACTTGAAAATATACCAAAGAAAACTACTGAGGAGAGTAACGTTAGCAACTAGACGAGTGGACTAGCTAAGTTACTTTAAGTTAGTATTCACCTTACAGAGATAAGCCTGCTAACCCTTTAATGTTAGCCTACATTAGCTGAATTAGCTAGCGTTAGCTAAGAAACACTCTAAAACTTAACATTTTGTGTTGGAAAGTGCTTCTGCTTGCCATGTTAAAGCGACAAAACGTTAAAGACAACCGTAAAACAACACAGCACATGTTTAGCTCAGCTAGCTAACTGCTCCTCAGGTCGGAAGTTGAAAGATTTCTAACTACTTGTAGGCCTAACTGTTACAACTTAAAGGTTGAATACTAAAAATATAACCTAGTAAACCAGAATTAAATTACTATGATCTCACTGTCCTCGAGGAAGTACTGTTGTGTTATTTTCCACCTCTGATACACCAACGACTCTGAACTCCGCTAGCCTATTTACTTGTATTCAGTCAGGACCGAGACTCAAGGCACAAACGTGAAACCAGCTACAGTCTACTAGGAGAGATTGTTCTTCATATGTTACAGCGTGTTGTTTATGTTGAGCTTGAATTACGAAAGATTATGATTTTAATTTTATCTGAAGGCTTCAGTGTACGCCACCGGTGTGGACATCATTTAGATACTATGAACAGTTAGATGCATTTGAGCTTGAATCGGTTCACAACTGGTTCAGAAGAGCGATTCATTCACGAGTCGTTCATCGCCAGTGTTTGTGCTCTCCGTCTACCTTGCTTTCTCGCCCTCTTTCCTTCCCTCCTTCTTGTCTCAGGCTTTTCAACTCTCTTTTCATCTCCAGTCTTATGCTTTGTGAAAACTGGAGTGTTATTTATTACATATGATAACTGTTATCATACTTCTCCAGACTCATGTCACACATGGATTTTTGTTGGGAGAAGCACTGAATTAATTTATGAGGTGCACACAGTTTACTTTGTACTTCATATACGTTACCAACCTAAATATTACGAATGCATTATCATACCAGTACTTGTAATTGTTTTATATCTGACCAATATTTAAAGCAGTCTTGGACATAAATGTGTCTCTAAGCTACTGTACTAAAAATGCATTTTGTTCATTTTATTGTATTCGTTATCCTTCACAAATAGATGTCATATTTCTCCGTAAGGCTATTCTAGGTGGATATAGTCTCAAATTGTAAATTTATATAAATATTTATGTTTTGGCGTAAGCATCAGCAGATATGTACATGAAAAATACCAGATACCCGCCCATAATTCCCATATAAGTGTACTCCAACTTAATATATAAGGAAAATGAATTAGAAGATTGAATGCAATTGCAGACTTTTTCTTCTCACACAGGACCAGTCAGGACTGTTTGTGACTGGCTGTGAACATAACAGCAAGAATGCTGTCTTTTACATCTGTTTGACTGACTAATTGTGTTGTTTCTTTTCCAAAAATTGGGAAATTCTGAAGATTTGACGTCTGTCGGAAAGAATGATGAAATCATGTCGAAAGAGGCAAAACAAAGACTAGTTTGGCTCTTTTGGCCGCTGTCCCATTTAGAACCTCATGGAAAGTAAGCCTGCTGTGTGTGGGGCAGCCTGGTACCATCACTGACCACTGTCTCTGTCCATCACAACTACAGGACAATGCACAAAGGACACACTCACTGGCCAAATGAAAACAGCAAGTGCAGAATTGTGCTATGTCACAGTCAGAACTGCTGTGAACAGTTACTGCATGTGAAAAGAAAAGAACAGGGGTCAGTACATGATTGCTTTAGGAAACTGTGCCCTTCCATATTTGATAGTTTGGTGAAGTAATGGAAACTTATGACCACAAGTTAGCGATGTTGTCCACTTTTATAGATATCATACAGTGTCAGAACCAAATAAAGAAGTCAGTTGGGGATTGCCTACAAGGAAATTTGATTTGATTGTGGTTTGATGTGAAATGTTTATTGTAAAGAAATCTTAATTGGTAGAAAATCTAAATCTAAATTTCTTTTCAGTGGTAATAGGAACCAGGGTTCTCAAAGTCTAGAGCACAAATATAGATATATTATTTACTATCCAAAAAGGCCAGCAAACATATCCATTTATTCTGAGTTTTTATGTGATGTTAATAATAGTACAATAGTGGAAAATCTGGGGAAAAAGTTTTCTCTTGGTTCTGTTTTTGTTACTACACTCTGCATGTACATCTTTACCATGAATATATATATTTTAGGCCAAACCTTAACTTATAAGGTATCGGACCCTTCATATGTCTGATTCCACCAACACTGAACAATTCTGACTCTGTAATTTTCTCAAAAATGGCTCATGTCAAAACAAACCACTCTAAATACATGAGAGGCATTTTGTTACCCTTCCTAGACTATTCTTGTTTTCCCTTGTTGACTTGTTTTCCTTCTCTACCTCAGGGTGCATGTCGGGAGAGACTAGTGAGACTAGCCGTCTTACTTGCAGCAGTTAGACAGTTCAATACATGGACAGGGCCTCCCTCGCTTCCCTAGGCTTCTCCTTAAATACCTATAGCCCCTCCCAGTGGACTAAACCAAAATTACATTTAGGCATTCTTAAGGCAAAATAATCATATTCCAGTTAAAAATACAAGCATATTCAGCATTTAGTTCAAGTATATCTTTCTACAGATTTCATTCATGGCAAATGTTCAATATTAGCAATTAGATCATTTTTGTTTTTCTTTTTCCAGGCCGACCTGTGTACCCCCTGTCCCTGTGTCCCTTCCAGGCCTGCAGACCCACATCAGGACCAAATGACCCCCGCCGTCACTCTCTCCAGGAAACAGGTAAGTAACTTTCTCTTTATATTATTTAAAATAAAAGGCTCAGTCATATCTTTGTCTCTTTCAGTCTTGATCCATGGCTGTTGGTGATATGCTAGACCAGCTAGCATCATCACAGTGCATTGTAGAGAAACATACCTACCCTGATTTCTTTACAGTGGTATTGCTAGGAACCAGGGGTCATGATGTCTTCAAAAATAGCTGTTTTATTTGCAAAAGCATCAGTGAAACTACAGTGTTCCGTGTTTTTATATGTAATGATAATAATGGCCCAATACAGGCAAATCTGAAAAAATAAGTTCTTTGTGGACTACTTTGCCTTATAACATCTTGTATGTACCCATCCATCATGAAAGGCTTTTAAAATTGTTTAAGGTCAAAACCTTATCTCAGACTGATCATAAAACAACATCTCAAACATCAGGCAGCATATCCCTCAGTGAGGGAGCCTTTAGAAGCACACATTAACATGTCAAAACCTGTGATAAACACATTAAAAGGCAGATTATTACTTGTAGCAACTCTCTAGCTTAATATGGAGGAACTTCAGGAAATCGGGAGAACGGTTAAGCTAAGTATTAGTAAAAGTGACATTTTTATGGTAGCATTCATTCATTGGCTGAGTTATAATGATTGGAGGTGCTGCTGCCTCCCCATCCCACCTGGAAATTACACGTGTGTCTGATAGCCTTCTAACATCAGTCATTGGGGTAGTTGCACTTAGCAGCATTAAACTTTTTAATCACCACCACTGTGAACAGTTCTTACTTGGTAAGTTTCTTTAGGACTGAGCATTTCACATCAAACGACTCTGAATGATTTTGCTTGCATCTTAGCAGTTGACCAGTGGAGGAATTCACAAAAATTCGTGGAATTCCCCTTGTAGCTCTGTATTAAATTTAATCTGATTCCTCAGTCAAAACAAGCGTGAGTCTACCTGATACGGCGCTAAACTTCCTGCAAACCAACTGTCAAATCATGTCTTAATCAGCCCCACAAAACAAACATGGTCATCATTTTGTTATTTAAAAGCTTTCAGAATTGTCTCTGTGTATTTCATTGTCATTTTAACACAAGTTTTAATTCTACTAAAAATTATCCTATACATTTAAATAAAAAAATGCATTTCTTTACAAGGATCAAGACTTAAAACAGTCTTCCTACAGCTCATTTATACTTACAGTAATTTTATTTCAGGCCTAAGCTAAAACAGCAACAGAAATTATGCAAATCCTCATGTCACTGGGCCTAACTGTGTACAGTTCAGTCTTTTAATTACTTTTAATTTAAAACAAGTGTCAAGTATCCATGGTGGATTTTTTAAATGATTAGATTAAAATGTGCTTCACTTACAGTAATCTCGCCTTAAAGCCTAGCAAAACCAAGGTGAAGAAAAACAGCAACATCTAGTGGCAGATCTGTGATTTTTTTAAATGACAGCTATTGGGTTTAGTTTAAACAGCAGGTGTGTTTTAAACTACAGCTTCCAAGGACACAAATGAATGGAAGAACCCATGTGACTAATTCAGGTTTAAACTTGGGTTAAACTCTAAACCACAGCTAAGCTAAAGACAGAGCAGTTGCCTTATTAGCTTTGTTTTCCTAGTTAATCTAAACACTTTCTTTATTCATAATTCTTATAACTCAGTGTGGCTGCTGAGGGTTTATCCAGATGTGTAAGTGTTAGACAACAGCAAAGATAGTTTATCATGGCTGGAGTTTATTTTCAATCAACACTGTTTTAGGTTTAATGAACAATTCCAAAAAATCATCACAAATCCAACTCATGGAAACACTTTTTTAGTGCATTCACTGGTTACAGCTGAAAACCAGAGCAAACAGTATCAATATATTGAGATCATGGTGTTGCTGACAGAGCAATGACAGAACCATGTTAATCTTCAGATGAGGAAAAACTAAGCTTTGCTCCTGTTTGACACACGAAGTTTAGCTTGGTACTACAGCGGGCATCATTCCAGAGGACTTCAGCTGCAGAATTACAGAGATATATATTAGTCACACATGACATATATATGACCAGCCACTTCATGCAGTACGCCTTCTTGTTGTCTGTTTCGTCAGCTCCGCATATAGCTGCGCATTGTAATTGTAGTTCTACAATTACAGACTGTAGTCCGTCTGCTTCTCTGCATACTTTATTAGGCCCCTATTACCCTGTTCTTAAATGGTCAGCATCCCCTCAGGACCACCAGAGAGCAAGTATTATTTGGTGGTGGATCATTCCCAGCACTGCAGTGACACTGACGTGGTGGTGGTGTGTTAGTGTGTGTTGGGCTAGTCTGAGTCATTGCTCTGTCCAGCAGTGCTGCTGGAGTTTTAAACACCTCAGTGTCACTGCTGGACTGAGAATAGCCCACCAACCAAAAATATCCAGCCAACAGCGTCCTATTGCTAGCGTCCTGTTACCACTGATGAATGACTAGAGGATGACCAACACAAACTGTGCAGCAACAGATGAGCTACTGTCTCTGACTTTACATCTACAAGGTGGACCAACAAGATTCATGTTTAAAAACTCCAGCAACAGCGCTGAGCAGTGAGACACATACTAACATGCCACCAGTGCTTTGATTGATCCACCACCTGAGTGGTGGCTCTGTGGAGGTCCTGGCCATAGAAAAACAGGGTAAAAGGGGGCTGCCATGGTATGCAGGGAAACAGATGGACTACAGTCTGTACTTGTAGAACTACAAAGTGCACTTGTATGATCAGAGGGCCTGATAAAATGGACAAAGCATGTAGTAGGTGGTAGGTGTACTTAATGAAGTGGCCAGGTGGTATACATATATACATATACATAGATTATGATAATGTGATTCTTCTATGTAGAATATCTGGCATGTATTTGGGGTGCTTCTCATGTATTTGGGCGTTTACCTCCGAAGTTCATTTCCGCACATTTCTCAGCCCGTTCTTTGTTGTTTGGCTCACCAGAGTGCCACGCTTTGTAATCAAATTTAGACCCGTCACTCCAAAACCAAGTAAAATCCTGGAGAAAGTAAAGACAGCGGAGAATATTATTGGTCTTATATTGGCTGTTGGTGGGGGAAAAAGACCTAGAAAGGTCAAATCAGTCTGAAAAAGACTGGAAATCTTTTTGATTATATTATAGACCAATTACATTACTTATAGTGCTCAGTGTTAACCATAATAATGTGCTTATTTTCAGTTAATATATTAACACACAATGTTACTTTGTTAGTAATCTGGAATTTTCTACTGTTGAGCATTGTGCCCCTTTTTATTGTATAAACCTGAACAATTGACAATTACGTGTAAATTTCAAATACTTTGTCAAGAGCAAAAGTCTAAAGGTGACCTACCTGAGTGGCATCATGAGCGCCTATCCATGTTCGTAAGTATGTGCCATCTTTGCTTCTGCCTAACTTCTTGAGAAAATCTTGTGTTTGAGCACTGTGGATAGCCGCAAGGTTTCCTCCTAAGGAAATGCAGTATTCCTGAAAAAAATACAGAGAACAGACCAGATTATTAAACCGATCATTTTGGTTTAACCAAAACTGTCCTTAGTGGGGTTTTTATTTATTTTATTTTTTTTCTAACAATGAAGTTCTTCTTGACTGTGATCTTAACCTCACAGCTAGATTGAGAGTTTAGATATTAGTGAAACAGTGAATACCTCTGCCTCAGCCCAGGTTTTTTTTTCAGCAATGTGTTTATAGCAGGTTTTCCCAAATCTTGCCCAATCGTTCTCACATTTTCTGCCAACTGTAAATAAAAGAAAAACGGTAGTGATAATTTATATAGCAATCTTAAGCAAATAAATAAGTAAATCAGTGAGTAAATACACAGCAAAAGAGGTATGATTTAAAAACAACTGTCGCTTCTTTGAGTCTTAAAAACTCATGGTGCTCATCATCCATTTCTGGTTAGAATACTGGCCATCTTTTCCAGTAGTCAAGCTAAGATCTCATCAATTGCATGTATGAATTGTTCTATTCTATAACGTAGTTTGACTGCATTGAAGTGTTTTAAATAAATTTACCTGCAGATCCTTGTGCAGACACATCCTGAGTCATCATGAAGACGACAAGAAGTATTAAAATCCGCATTGTGGTCGAACTCTTTGAGAAGGCAAAAACAACGTATGAGTACAGAACAGAATTAACAGTGACTAATTGCAAGTGTAATGTATCTAGCAAGAATTTGGCTGATCAACTAAATAGTACATTTAATACATATAATAAAAATGTTAATGTATAAGTCCAAAAAGCTGTAACATAATAACAATAATAATCATAATCGTACCAGAGTAGACACAGTTCACAGCGGAGCAAGGCAGATTAGTGCTCTTGTGAAGGAGAGGTTTGCGAACGAGAACTTACCACCTACTTTTATAAGCAAAAGTTCACTCCAAAATATATAGCAGTGCAATGCACCAATACGAACAGTCTTATAAGCTTTCCTCTCCATATTAGGTAAACGCTTTTCTTTTGTCTACTAATCACAGCTGTCATCATGAGTTTCAGCTTTGTTCTTACCTAATGTACCCCTGTAGGGTGGGGTTAGTTTTCTGCTAGATGCCAGGACTGAAATGCTGCTATCCACGTTGTGTACATTTCAATATAAGGCTGCAAACAAGTTATGAGAAGTCCAAAAAGAAAAACAAATATACACAGTAGACTTCACAAGAGAGGGGTAAAATGTTCTTTCCTTTTACTCTAGGGTTATGTGTGGCCTTATCACTGTAATCAATTGCCCATATGTGCTAGTGGGCTCCAAATTCTACCCCAGAGCAATACTTTACAACAGCAAAACTCAATCACATCTCAATAAGGCCACCAGAATACGATATGGGGCTGATACAGTGGACAGCATCAGCCCAATCATTCAAGAAAATTAGCGCCAAGACTAATTAGTCCATCGACAATTTAAAACCCATAATTTTATATTTAATACATGGTCAACAACTGTTTTGGTGCAAAACACATACAATACAGTAGTATATATCATCAACAAGTCTTATGTGGCCAAAGGACAAATAACTATTGCACAAATACTTTGTAATAGGCCCTTAGAATGCAGTTTAAGCTGTGACTTAGTTAAAAGCCAGACTTAAGCTCTAGTAAGCACCTTTTCTAGAGCACCAACTTAATTAAGAAGACACAGCCGTCTAGGGCACCCGCAGTCTCGCTAATCAAGTAGAGAAAGGAAACTAAGGAAAAGTGAAACTTGAGAGGACAACTACTGCAGAAAATGAAACTAGAGTGGGAAGTTAAAGAGGAAAAAAATAAGAAAAGCAAACTAGGAGGGAGCACTAAGGAGGAAGAACAGTGACCATTATCACCAGTCGTACTGCTCAATCTGTAATACAAATAAACATGCAGTTAGCTCCTTAGCGGTGCTAGCTGACTCCAGAAAGTAATAAAATAGAATGAATCAGTGAGCTTGTACCTGTCAAATAGCAGCACTAGTGGTACTAAATGCCTGACCTCCCGTTGTCCCACAGCACCTAAATACTCTCCATGCTCTGTAAAAAATGAATGGGCATGTATTTCAATGAGTTTGAACCAGATATTAACCATAAAGGCTCTAGAATAGTTGTAGGTGCTTTTACCTGCACAGTAGCATACAAACAAACACCTCCAGTTCCTAGAGCATCACTCTACATACTTTAATATTTGAGCTAGAACTTGGAGAACTCAACAATTCTCACTACTAGCATATGTAAGATATTTTATGTGCAGCATTTCTTTTGGTCCATTTGTCATGAATGTACACAATGTAAAAGGCAGCTTTTGTGCTCAAATGATGTAGAAAAATAAAAGTGCAATACTTAAAACAATGTTAAAGTAATGTTAATCTTCTTCAGATGAGGAAAAACGAATCTTTGCTCCACTGTAGTGATTGCTTTTCAATTTAGCACAAATTCCTTTCCATAAGATTGGCTGATGCTAGTTATGTTTCCATAGTGGCTAGTGCTGGTGGTCAGCCAAATGAACACTGCATGCACTCACACAAATCTCTATGGTTAGTCAGAGTTAAATGTAGAGTTAAGTAAAGCCACATGTTCTTCACCAGATTGAAAATATAAGGAAAAAAACCTGTCATTCTGCTAGCATACATGCTAAAAACATTAGAATTGGCTATGCAGCTAACAAATAAACAAACATTACTCAGTGTGTCTTATAAACATGTTAGAAATTAGAACTTTTTTGTTTTCCTAAGCCCCTTGTTGACTTTTAGTTTATGCATTTACTGCTTTTTATTTACGATTGTTTGTGTCAACCCAACAACCCCAATTCACATTGTGCTTGATGCAGCGTTATATGCCTGAAATCTAACAATTGTGGAAAATGTTTGCAGTCAGCTTGAGTAATTGCGATTATATCAGATAACTACGATCATCTTAAATAATTGCGATTAGGCAATTATGTAATAATAATGACAGGCCCACCAGTTTGGGACCAAATAAATGATGGTCACATTTCACATAACATGTTTAGAAGGCACACAAATGTTTGCTAGTAGATCCATCAAGAACATGTAGCTTTACTTACATATAACTCTTACAGGTGTAACCATAGGCAATTGTGTGAGTGTGGGCACAGTGTACATTCGGCAGTGCAGTGTTAACTACTAAGGAAACATAGCCAGCATCAGCCAATGTTATGGAAAGGAATTTGAAATTGAAAGCAGTCGCTAGAGAGGTGAAACATAAAATGCAATGCTCATGTGAGATTCTTTTTCCAGTGACATGCAGAATATGTGCCAAAATGAAAAACAAACCCTCTAATACATTGTTTTAACATCACTTTACATTTCACTTTACTGAAAAAAATGCATTGAGGATTTGCAGTTTATGCTGAATTCTTGCCAGAATTTAGTACAATCCACCTTAAAATGTAATAAAGGCGCAACTATATTGCACCGTGCAGTACTTACACCAACATCAAATCAATTTAATGGGTATTTTCCTTTTCATTTGGGCATGTTTTTCACGTTAGTGTTCAAATACAATCTGGTGTGCATTGCTTTTTGCTATTTTCATTTCAGTGAGGCAAATACGTTTGAAGTACAAAAAAGGTCAGATAATGCAAAAACAACTTAACAGAGGCTTTGCTGTTCATTTTGGCACATATTGTGCATGTCACCTATGGAAAAGTAATGTGATGTGTGCATTGTATTTCACTGTTTTCACTGTTCTGATTGCATTTCAGTGAGAAAAATCCGTTTACAGCACTGCACAGTGGAAAACAATATAGTCGGGCCCTCATTATATTTTAAAGAAAGTTGTATTTAATTCTGACTTGAATTCAGCATTTCGTTTTTAAAATGCAAAACCTCATGCATTGTTTTACTAAAGAGGTAAAGCAACATGTGTAATACAGTGTAATACAGGGTATACTGCATATTCTGCATGTCACTGTGGAAAAGCAATGTCGTGTGCATTGCATGTCATGTTTGTCCGCTGTAGTCATTGCTTTTCAATGTGGCAGGTTCATACAATACAGCCACTCCATGCAGTCTAGCCACTTTAGGCTAGCATTTTAATAGTTGCATATAATTAACATGAACAGTTATTTATATGAAAATCATCAGCTAAAATTTCATGATCCCTGTACACTAATTTAAGTGATGGTTCAGCCAGAAATCACATTTACACAATTTTCCCCAAATGTAATTGATCAACCAAAACATGTTTAAAGTGACACCACACCATTCTTGACGGACTGACTACATTTGGGGCATGGGTGCATTCTGTGTGTGCATGAGCTATCAAACCACAACGGCAATAAATTCTGCCTGGCTACATTTAGGCAAATAGTACTTGATTTGAAGACTGCAGTGTCTAGGTGATGGAATAAACAGTATACAATGTTTCTGTACATATATTTTGCATTGATGAGGTTGGAAGCAGATCTGCACACCACAAAGGTTCTGTTTTCATGTACCAGTTAGAACTGCAGAGCAACAGGGTGTTGTGACATCCTTAATAAGTTTACAGCAAAGCACATTCATGCCATTTCATACCAAAGGAGGAACCTGCTTTATCAGGCAATATGCTGATAGTGAGCAGTTGAAAATTTTCATCATGATTTGACATTGTTTTGAAACACATCTGTGAGTCAAGGGTAAGGTCAAAACTAGGTTCACAACTTATGTTTATTTTGTTTATTTTGACAGTTGAATGTAGAAAAGAGCTGACTGTTGTTGTACAGCGTACTAATGCAAGGATTAGGCTACACTTTCAAAAGCGGTATAGTAAAATGGCAAAATGTGTGGTTTCTTGAACTACATGGCATGTACTTTGCTGACTACATGGCTTCCCAGTTTTTCTATTTTGCATATCTGTCACACTTGAATGTTTCAGATCATCAAACTACTTTTAATAGTGGACAAATATTAGACAAAGTCCAAGTAAACACAAAATGCTGTTATTAAATGATGATTTCATTTATTGAAGGAAAAATGCTGTTCAGCCCTAACTGTCCCTATGTGAAAAAGTAATTGCCCTCTTAGCTACTAAATCAACTAGTTAACCAAATTCAGTTGACTGTTTGGTTCAATTCATTTCACTAGACACACCCAGGCATGAATACTGCCAGACCTGTTAAATCTGAACATCACTTAAATAGAACCTGTCAGGCAATGTGAAGCAGGCTAGAAGGTCTCATAAAGCAGCACATGAAGCCACATTCTGAAGAGATTCAAATACAGATGCTGAATCTACCAGTCTGGAAAAGGTTTCAGAGCCATTGCTAAGGCTCTGGGACTCCAGCGAACCACAGTGAGAGCCATTATCTCCAAATGGAGAAAGCTTGGAACAGTGGGGAACCTTCTCAGGAGTGGCCGGTCGACCAACATTTCACCAAGAGTGCATCAACGACTCATGCATGAACGGAAGAACCCAGACGGAAAGAACTGCAGGCCTCACTTGCCTCATTTAAGGTCAGTGTACATGATTCCAAAATAAGAAAGACACTGGGCAAAAATGGCATCTATGGGGGAGTCACAAGGCGCAAACCACTGCTGACCAAAAAGAACACAAAGACTCATCTAGCATTTGCCAAAAAACCCCAAGAATCCCCCTTGAATCCCATTGAGATGCTGTGGCAAGACCTTAAACGGGCGGTTCATGCCCAAAAAAAAATGTCGGCCGGATTCCTCCACATAGAGGTAAAAGACTCATTGCAGGTTATCACAGACGTTTAATTGCAGTTGTTACTGCCAAGGGTGACACAACCAGTTATCAGGTTGTGACAAATTAGCAATATGACAAATTAGCAAAAATGGATGAAGTTGGGTGAGGGGCAAATACTTTTTCACAGCACTGTATAACCTTCATTCTATAATGATTATAATATAATGCCATGTCCCACTAAACCCATTCATAAACAGTATTGGTGTATGTTTAGAACATGAGTTCTGCCAAAGG